AGGACCATAAACACTATTCACATTTTCAGCCGCCTGGCTTGCGTTTTCGCCTTTATCGAAGAAAAACTGTAAAATATGGCGTATTTTCTCTTTGTTGGTGTCCATCTTTGACACGCGCTCAAACAATACTGACTCAAGCAATCACAAAACTGTCTGAGAAGTTTTTTTTAGTACGAAATCTTATCTTTCTAACGCCATTTGGCGTAACCCTATCGCACTTATACAACGCGAGATACAGATTACTAAAGCCATGTATTGGAAAAATAATAGATTTCTTTTTACTACACCTTATATCTAGTCTCGTTCTTAAACGTCTGTTTAAGTGCAATTCCGCTGGTGTCTTTTCCGTCGTACAATGTGGTGTCGAGCGATAATAAAACAAATATTTACATAAAGCATCGTGTTTCATATTATCCTTAAACAGTACTTTAAACTTCTTTTTAAAAGTGCGCACAGCATTCTCCGCCGCCTCGTTTGACGCAGAGTGATACGGTACAGTTATGCTTAATAGCATTTCGCAATACAGACTCTTGAAACTACTTGCTCGCAAATGCCGGCCCATTATCCATAACAATTTAATGTGGCAGCCCTCATATGCTTATATATTCTTTTAAAGCTCTAATCGCAGATTCTGAAGAGATATCGCACATTTCCTTAATATCAATTCCTTAATTCAATAATATCCATTTCGAGTACGCATCGATTATCACATATGACCGCTAATTGGTCCGCAAAAATCTAGATGAATACGATGGTTTGGCCCCTGCGGCCATTTCCATACATGTAATGAAGCCTTTGGGGGATCGTCTGCACTCTCTAAGCACTCTTTACATGTCTTAGTTATTTCTTCAATGTCCCTATCTAAATCAGGCCACCAGAAATAAGACCGAGCTAATGCCTTTATTTTAACTACCCCGAGATGAGCTCCATGTAGCTCTTCTAGTCAAATCAGCTCTCAAAGACTGGAATAACAATGCAGTATCCCCACATTACGCAATCTTCTTCCAAAGTTAACTCTAACCTACGACTATAGAATGGCTTCAGGCAATCATCCACTTTATTCGACCAACCCTGCATTACAAAATCTCAAACTCTCCTCAAAATTGTATTTTTGCTCGTTTCCCTAACGAACGAGCTTACTATCTATACTTTGTACCTCTTCCCCGATTATCTTTAAATACGTATGTTCCTCTGACTCTACCATTTCAACCGACTTGTTAAAATCCTCCCTATCAATTCCTAATAGACTGTCAGCAGGCATTATCCTGTCCCTTAATGTGCTTAATTTTAAAGTCATATCCAGCTAAAAATACGGTCCACCTTTGCACTCGACTAGCCGCCAATTGCGGAATTCCTTTCTTTGGTCCAAAAATGTACGTTAAAGGCTTATGATCAGTTTCTAATATGAAATTATTAGGTGTACAAAAAAGTTCTGAGCTTTTTTTTGTAAAATTCAATCTTTATTTAAAAACAAACGAAAAAATATTAATCAGCGAAATATTCTCCGTTTGCATCAATGACCTTTTGCCATCTTTCGGGGAGCTTGCGAATTCCTTGACGATAGAAACTCACCGGCTTCGAAGCGATAAAGTCATCAATGCATTTTCGTATCTCTTCTAATCTCACGAAATGTGTATCAGCCAAATGATGCTGCAGCGACCGGAATAGGTAGTAATCGGAAGGCGCCATGTCTGGGCTATACGCCGCGTGCGGGAGAAGTTCCCAGCCTAACGCAAAGATATGCTCCTGAGTCGTTTTCGCAGCATGAGGTCGAGCATTGTCATGAAGCAAGATCACTTTACGATGTCCTTGGCCAGTAAATGGCCTCTTTTCTTCTAATGCATCGCTCAAATTGGTCAATTGTTGTTG